TTGAATAATTAATTGTATCTTTATGATTTTTATGATGTTGTGGAAAATTAAACTGATAATTTCCTATGTGTCCACCACGATTTTTAATTGAATTGGCTATTGATATTTTTTGAGGGTGTGGGTGTGGGTGTGGGTGTAGGTGTGGGTATGGGTGTTGTATTCTTCCTTACTCAGCACCCACACCCACACCCACACCCACACCCACACCCTCAAGCTGAAAATGTGTTCATACTAATGCATTCATATACATCTTTTTATTGGTTAATTATATGAAAACCTTTTTGTCATATCTTAACTAAATTCGTTTCGTAAAACCGATTTCACTGGCTATTAAGTTTGATAATGATCACGTAATGCACTTTCAGACTTGCGTACGTTTCATACTCGTCTATAGTCTTTTTCCTATCTATAGTAAAGTGATAAAATAAAACGAATGTGGGAAAAAGAATGTGAAGAGTTAACGATAAGCGACATGCTTATCAAGTGAAGGTTGTATGAGAAGGTGAGTTAAACACGACAGTCATCTATGATTAAATAAGAATAAAACACGAGCCACAAAAGTCTACAACATTTACGTGTGACGTACATATTTTCTTGTAAGTCCTTACACTTCTCTCATAAGTTTTCGATTTTAGTATTGATATTATATAAGAAACGATACATATATTACAGTTTAACAGACTTCTATTACACAGAAAATTAATAATTTAAGTGAATTGTTGTAATACCTAAAAGCAAATTTTATATTATCTCCCATGATAAATAGAAGCGTTCAGTTTTTTTAAGTTTGCATTTTGTATTATACCTCGAAAAATTTACATGAAATTGTTATTTATCACTGTTAACTGTGATTCTCTATCAAATGAAATTCAAGTTGTAATAGAAACATGTAATTTTCTTATATACATATTATAGAACTGTGAAGAATTCGGTTTTCATTCTCAATAGTGACGCTATAGTATGATGATTGAAATTTTAATTCTTATTTAATACTAATATTTTTAGGAATGTATTACTTCATTCTTTTGTACACCATAATTAGTCATATAGCGGGAGTTTTAAGTGATACTCGATTAGCTGGTCTGGTTGTTGATCCAAATTTTGCATGGAAAAAACAAACAGTTACTATTTCTTTCTTGAACGGAAATGAAAAAGAACGTTTAGAATTTCGAAAACTTTATTTCCAGTGGTTCGCGTGCACCCATATACATTTTGTTGAAATAGCTCTCAGTCAAGGTGCTGATATTCGTGTCGGATTTGCACTAGATAAAGGCCGGAGTTAGTCTCTAATCGGATCATTGTCCGTTGAATATTCAGTTAATCTGACATCTGGAAAAATATATTGTGATTTTCAAAGAACTCGTGATCCATCCATGGTTGTTGCTTCTATCTCGAAACGACTAGTATTACATGAAGGTGGCCACTCTCTTTCAGCAAAGCATGAACATGGACATTCTTTGTCAAATATTAGTTGGCATCCAGATTTCATTAGTGGAAATATGTTTCCGTCGATGACAATTGAATATATACAAAATAATTTCCTTCAAACATTTCCTTTAAATCAAAGTTTAGGTCCATTTGATAGGTAAGTTACATGTACGAATCGAACAAAAGAGTAGTCTAAAGAATTTCATGTCGCATTATCATGATCATGACATGTTTTCGATTCGATAGTTTTATTTTAATAATGAGGAGGCAAGGATAATGTTTGATATACTGTGAATGACCAAAACCTAGATGAATTTCGTTACATGTTTGTAGAAAACAAAATCTCATTCATAGTCTCATGAAACAAACATTTCTTTTTGGTTCAAAATTGTTTCTATTCATCAGAGATATAAATAATCCTTTAGTTTCTGTTAAAAGCAGTTTTCTCAATCAGTTGGTATTCATAGATTTTATTCGTATTTTTAATGAATGTTTAGACATAATGTGATAATTTTAAATTTCATATTCCTCTAACAGTAAGTTAAGCGTAGAAATATGACATTAGGATCTAACGTTAACTACGAGAATCTAGATGAAGTGCAGAAAATATGGAGTGTAGTAGCATAAAATAAAGTATTTAAAGTATACTTTTGATTGGTTAGTGAATTTTAGAAAGAGTGTCATGCTTTATAAAATCCTTCCTTCAATGACAACTAATAATTTGTCAACCAACCTAAATGAAGATATATCAATGAACGATCAATTCTATTCTTCTCAAATTTACCGACAGTTTTTCGATAATGACTACATTCATTGTAAGAAAAAAATATTTTTCAAAAGCTCAAACTTTGAAGAAGAAATTCAGTGCTATAAAACATGGTACACACAATGCACACTGTTCGTACATGATAATGACTTCTGCAAAGATTATAAAAATCCATGGAAAGAATATCAATATTTTCTATGGGTGAAAAACGAAACTCTACCAACTTTGTCAAGGCCAATGCAAAGTAAGTGCGATTTACTATCTATACATATAATGTTCAGCGTATGTGGGTCTGTCTGTTTCAGGCTAGTAGAGTATGAGTATAAGCGGTTAAGAATAACAATATAATATAGTAGAAGAACGCAGGGATACGAAGAATTATAGTATATCGGGATAATGCTTTAGTATGCATCTACATATACAAAGTGACTTTTCGATTGTTTATTATTGAGTCAAAGTAAAAACAGTGTTATGAAACTATATTTGGAAGTCACTCACACAATTTCTCATATTAGGAAATTCAAAACTGAAAATTAGGAATACCGAACCGAATTGGAATTCGTGCATGCCTACTCAAAAAGTAAATAGAGTATTCGTCGCTATTTTACTCTACTCGAAGAGAGACGAATGGATAAAGAAAAGAAATTTCATCCTATGAAATTACATCGAGAATTTTACATAAAAATATAAATTGTCATTGTTTACTTTGTTTGCTTTGCAGTTGGATTAGTTATTTCAAATACTAAAAAATAATTCACCATATTGTAAGCAAAAATGTGTCTTAAAATAAGAAAGAAAACCTCTGAAAGCATATTATAAGCACGTCAGGTTAAGTTGATAAAATCTATTTGTCAAAATACAATAGAAACACATTGAATTAGTAAAAATATTTTCTATAATATAAAGAATATTTAGTTAGACTTATTTAAGCGACAAAGCGTCATGAACAAAAATCATCCTTATTTTCTGCTACTCGATGAAGGCAGAGCAATACTTTCATTGTAGTGAATGGATTTAATGATCATATATTACTAGTAAGAATAGCAGTCGTAATCAAAAATATAGTAACTCTCACCAAGATACATTATGTGAAGACTCTTAATTTGATAATAGGACTAAATCTAAAGTAGTTATTTTACAGTTATTAAGAATGAGTATACTCTAAAAAGCGGTCAGAGTCTCTAAGATATACACCACGATAACGTTATTTTTAATAGTTTTGTGTAATTTATTGTATTTATCTGATACACTAGAATTTTCTTATTTTGATACCGTTGGATAGAGCATCGGCTGCTCTATCGAATTATATAGTTTACATTTTATGTTCTCCGTCTCTAGCCCAAAAAATTTTTAAATCTCTCAAGATAACTAAAAACAAATTTTGCACTGCAGCTATCCGATGAGAGACAGGCCATTTTTTACTTTTGTATCAGGGTCTTTATTTTGAAAGAAAATATCAGAAGATGCAGCGTCAAAAGCTCTACAAACTATATGGAACCATTTGTTTTCTACTTTTAGTTTTTGTTATAAAAAAATTGAAAACATTTTAAGCAGCCAAAATTCGAATGCGAGAAAATTGGTTTTACAGCATTTTTTTCACCTTGTTTCGCAATTATAAAAAAGGTTTAATGTGTAAATCGTAGAGCTGTTCGCGCCGCATCTTTTGGTATATTTCTCGGTTTCCACAAAAGCATATTATGTGACAAAAATACAAAATTAAAAAAAAGTCTCTTCTATTCCCATAAAACAAAAACATTTATTTTTTCAATGGCAAAAATCGGTTGCGCTGAATTGTGCTTTTTCTAGAAAACAAAGGAATGCACAATTAATATACGCTTGAACAGAATTATTGTCGAGCTTTTGACGCTGCATCTTCTGATATATTTTGTTTTCAATTAAACGTACTGTATAATGCTGCAAAAACATTTCTCAGTACTTGTTTTAGATTCACTAAAATTTGGGCTAGAGCTAGAGAAGTTAGTAATCAAATTACATGATTTGATAGAAGAGCTCATGCTCTATCTAACTATACTAAAATAAAAAAAATCGATGTACTGCATAAATACAGTAAACGACAGAAAACTGTTAAAAATAACGTAATCGTGGTGTATGATCATCAAACTCGCTTTGTAGTAAAAGAAAGATGAAAAATAAATTTCTGAATATTATTCCTCTACAATTATGATTCAAATCACATACACTTTCATCTTAAGATCGGTTTATCAAACTTGTTGTTTCACTTTTTCAAATACAGATGTTTTTTTCAATGATATATAGAGCATAATTCATAGACAGTGGAGCCTATAAAGCTTAATAGGCTTGAATATACTCAAGCTAGTTTATATTAAAGGCATGGGTAGACGCAATTCAATAGATTTACTCGATTGGAAAATAATTTTTCCTAATTGTATCTCTAAAATTCAAAGTAGAAAGACTGCATTCGACTGCGGATACTCGTATTTCTTTATTCATTTTGTTACTGATATTCGCATGTTATACTATTCATTCATGATTTCGTTTGAAACAAACAAAGCATTATAGAATTTTTACACTTCAATAGTATCGAAAGTTAGCAAGAAAAATTATCGTCCACTTTGCTATGTGTAATAACTTGTTTGCAAAAATGAGCTTATTCTAGAGCGATTTTCTGAGAAAAAAATTGAAAATTTTGGAAAGTTTAGTTTTAATCTTCTACCTATGTATCATCACGTCAGAGATTGACAAGAATTAATATTTTATCCCTAATACTTTTTTAATTTTATAGTAGATGTTGCTGTAATCGTTAATATATTTCTTGTGGTTTTATTGATCAGCTGCGTTGGATTTCTAATCTGGCAAAATCAGTATGTTGTGTTACCATCTTAAGGGTGGGTGTGGGTGTGGGTGTGAGCCACATACATATACAAACTCTTTATCCACACCCACACCCTACCATTAATAACTATGACAAATCTTAGAAAATCGAATCAACTATTTGTTATGAGATTGTATGTGAATTTTCAATATTATTTATTTTATATGGAAATATTCAATAATCAAAACTAGATAAGATGTTTCCATTTCCTTACTTTAAAATGATCACCAATAGGATGTGAATTTTTGCTATAAATTTTACATATAACCAAAATTTGATACATAACCATTACAAACTGAAAGTTTCATCGATTTCTTCGAAAAAACAATTGAAAATCACTGTGATATCTTTGTCTTCGTATATATTCTAATTTGTAAAGAGCTCAGAAAAAGAATCCTTTCATACCGTGATTGAACATAGTTTGAAATAACACGTCATATGACTATTTGTTTAACGATAATTAACATAATTATACTGAAAATATCAATGGAAACGAAATTATTTATCTTAAACGACGAAATAATATATATTTTGAAAGCTATATCGAATAACATTTAAACGAGCCTTATAGTTCTTGAATTTGTCAAAAGTTAATAAGATCAGATTTGAACAAAGCGATATACATGATAATTAAATTCTCAAAAATGACTTAGATTATTTATTATTATTCAAAGTTATAATTTCGAAATACGTCTTGCTTAATATCTTCACTTTGTAGCAATTTGAAATCGTTACAATTATAATATTTGCTTAAATTGTGTACATAATTATCAAGTATGTTTCTACTGAGAGTATCATATGTAAGATAATCTTGAGAATTTTTTCTAAGTTCTTTTCTAATGGCACGTTCACACCGAATTATTTGAGAAATATTAAAATAAATGAGTAACGGAGGAAAAGCATGATCACAAAATTTTTCTGTATAATTTGATAATTGTACAACGAAAGAATATTGATCAGCAATATTACGAAGTAAACCACCATCACACACTGGAATATCTCCACGTATTGGATTAAATAATTTGAGATTTTCTCGACATTCATTCGATAATTGATTTTGATTATGTCGTATGAAATCATAACATTCGTATGTTCCAATAACAGTATTATATACATCTCGTCTATCGAATAAATTATTTCTTTGTAAAGGACAACATGTCCATTGAGTTTTAAGCATATTATAATGTTGACGATAAAGATCTCGTGTTGTCAATAGAGAATGAAATGGTTGAAGTGTCTGTCGAATTCGACGCATATCCAAATTTACTTTTGTTTTCGTGATCTTTTCTTGTTCATATCGTGAGGAAACAGTCGATAAGTTACAATCAAAAATCGTAAAAAAACTTATAGTTGTTAAGATAATCATAAAGCGATCATAAGATGCCATTCTACTATCTGAGAAAACGAATCAAACTGAAGTGCTGATGAAAGCGTACGATGTACGTATGGATAATATCTACAGTTTATTTTCTCGTTCTTACCGTAGGAAACAACAAAATTCTACTAGAACTAAAAATGTCGCTCGTGATATTTCTGTGCGAGAATAGTTCTTTTCATTCTCTTTTATTCTATGGATACTTACCAAATAGAATATAAGACAGAACATGAAAAGTATAGATTTTCTTATCTTATGTGTTGATTAATATAAAGTGCAACTTTTTGACAAGCTTTGCCATTCATCGATATCAATTTATCTGACTAGTACTTTCCTCTTCTTACAAGAACTAGTATCTTTATCCACGTTGATAATTGTACGTTGGGAAAAAAGAGAAAGAATTTGTGTATTCTTATCGTTTATTCTTTTTATTCTTTTATGTAGAATTGTGTTCTATCTGATATAAACACATTGAAAGTGATGAACTCGTGTATAATCAATGTTTATATGAGGAGTAGAACGAATGCTACTTCTTACATTTGTCATTGAATACTAGAATAAAATAGTCATGGTATCACGATCGGAAAAACATTTCATCCTATATTTTTTTGTTACAATGAACGGTAACAATTAAAGCTAGTTCACTAAAATGCATTATTTTAGATGCTTCAGATCAAAGGATATAGTAGCATTGATACCGTCAATCGTATTCTCACTCCATTGATTTTCACCACCTCCATAATCATACTTGAATTCATTCTCTTCCATGGTACGTGAAACATCCAACTCCACAAATATATAACGGAGTTTTATATATCATCCACAAACTATACTGATATTTATATATTAGGTGAATCAATTATATGTCGAACAACCACAAGTAAGATTAATTAAATTAATACACGAGAGTGTTGATTCTGCATGACTATGATATTTTTGCTAGATGTTAGCTGTTCTTATTTATTTATTTTCGCTAAAAATTAATCCATGTTATTTTACTACAACCACACTGTGATCCATGATTGCGAAAAACTACGGCGAATCTACGCATAACTGCAATCAAATTCTTTAGAAAATGATCATATAGGAATAAAATTCAGACCGATTTTCAGTCTAGTGCACTAGTAGTACAAAACATCATCTGTTATCGCGGAAAAAACAGAAGAGCCCATAAGTAGGAGTGAGTGTGAGTATTATTATTATCTCTCACCCACATTCCAAGATATTCATACTACGTGAAAGTATTTTGAACTATTATTAAGTTAAAGACCAATATCCAGTCTGACTCCTTATGTTTGTAGTACATATATGACGTCAGATAGGCTATTTCAGAAGTATGCCGAGCCATGATCCATAAATGAAACGTAGTGATTAGTCTGAACCGCGAGTATTTCAATCGAGATCTATAAAGCTATACAGGAAATCTAATAATAAATTTTACTACACGTTATCTTATTAGGATTGCCATTTTCAGTTAGTACAATAGTAAATGACGTCTTAAGAAAATATATGAACGATTACCATTTTTAGCTACGCTGCCTGACGCAACATCATTAGCATACATCAATAGTCGGTGTGCAAGTACCGATACATATTGGGATCTTAATTGTAAGTAAGTTTTTAGTTTTTAATGAAAAATGGTAATGAAGTCGATGTTTTAGATGATCTCAGTAAAACTAGTCTTGAAAGTATTCAAAAATACAAATATAGGTATTTACATTTATTTTTAACAGAATTATGGCTTAATATTACTTAATAGATCACTCGGACAATGGGCAATGTTTATCATTTTGTTTCTACTAATCTTTTTCATGATACCATTGTTGATATTTGATCGGTCGCGATTGATAAAGCTATGCGATAACATAAAAATGTTGACTCATAAAGAGGAAATGGAGATGATAACAGTTCGACTGTTGCGATCGTATTTAGAAGAACCGACATCTGATATCTCTACAAATAATACGACCATAACTGAATGTTTCGATGTCAATCGAGAACCTCGGTATTCTACTCATTCTTTTGGAAAAACTTTATTTAAAAATTATTTAATTACAAATGCGATACATATTATCGTTCAAGTGATTCAAGTTATTTCCGTTAGTATATTTCTCAATTTAAAAGTAGATTTGTCTTCTATTGAAAGTGATATTCTTCCTCATCGAGTAATCTGTCTCCTCTTTTCTAATAATATGGGACAATTATTATTATTTGTTGCAACATAATATGTTTAATTCAGCCTATACATAGTTTTGTTAGTCGTTCTAAAAGACAAGAAGTCTGGCTTCCATATTGTCACGCACAATTTCTAATTCAAATGGATAATGTTCAAGCACGACGTTTTGTTGATTATATTGGTTGTGATGGTCATTTAATCTTTACTGTTCCACAAAAGCTTATGGATAAAATTACTTTTCAACGATTCTTCCAACTATTTGTTGAATTAACTTTTACAGAAAGACATGATAAAGAAATGGAAATATAGTTAACGACATTTATATTAAATCAGTTTTTGTTATTGATTGAGATTTTTAGTCATATTAATTTTAGAAGAATGAATAAAATCAAGATAATATTATTTGTTCTTGAAAAATACTGGTTTTATTCAAAAATGACTATCTTTGTTTGTTATGAAATACTTAATCAATAAACTTGCATCTAAATAAGAACTATGCCATGTGATCTTTCTGGTAGTATAACTTCCACTTGGCTTTCGAAACTGGAATGTCATTCATTTAGATTTCGGCTTCGAAAAAGTTTATCTTTGCGACTCTGATATATATGTATATAAAATCGAGAGCGACAACGTTTCATTACCTTAGCCTACAAGACATTTATTTCGTCGATTTCGTACATTTTTCACTGACTGTTATATGATTTGTAAGAGTTACAACTTTTTAGTTCATGTATTTTAGCACTCTTTAAGCATCTTATGAACTTGACCGTTAAAATGTGAGAGATGATAATCTTAGAAACAGTAGTATCAAGAATAATAAATTCTTATAACAGATATTTAATCAAATATCAGCAAGATTGTGGATTCTTTGATGAGAGAGATAAAGGGCACTGTTATTTTTTTCTATTATATAATAGTTATGTTCTTTCTCATTGATAAGATTAGTATAAGAAGGAAAGAAAAAAAGAGAAAGATGCTCGTTCTTCTTTATCTTTACGGTTACTAATGGAAGGAATGGTTAGAAAAAATCAATGTTATACTTATATGTATATATAGTGAGAGAAACGATCGAGTCGTACAAAGAATAATTGTATCACAAGCCAAAAATGGCATCGATCGCATCTTTTATTGTAAGTAATTTTTACATGTATAATCAGAGCTTTCCACGTAGATTTTTTTCAAACAATTATTGGATAGAAAAATATATCATATCTAGATTAATATCATTTATTCGAGAGTTTTAAAACATATCCATATATATATTAGCTAAATAAAATATAAGTATTGTTTATGTTTCCAATATACTACTAGTAACTTTCGATTCCATATTGGTTTATACTACTTGACAGTGAAAAATCTATTAATTTAATGTTCGTCAACTCATCATATTCTTGAAATAATATGAAGTAGTTGAGGTTCCATTTATCGTGTCATTAAAAAAATGTCCTATCTAATCATATAGATTTGAAGCTTTTGAATTCGAGTTAATAGAAATTGTACTTACATACTAAGGAGTGATCTTTGTTTTTTAATATGACTAAAAAATGAAATGATATGCTCCATTCAGGTATAGAAGTTTCTTTGATCATAATTAAAATTCGAATTTCGTGTTATATGAGGTTGAAGAATAGTATCACTTAAGTGTCATAATTCTTTTAATTTACTATATTGATAGAAAACTGCAATTTTTGGTAGCCTGTCACATCGTAAGAGGAGTTCCGTATGATCAATCACAAGCAAAGACATCAAATTTATCTGTGACAGAGAAGAATGGTAGTTCTGCTGCTTCGCACAATAACGAAGTTTTTCTATTGAATGTGGGTGGAGAATTAATGCATGCTACGCGTGCTACACTGACTTATATTCCTGATACAGTTCTATCATCAATTATTCTCTCTACAATCGACAATCGTTCAAAATTAATTCAACACGATGAGAACGGACGGATCTTTCTTGATTTTCCGCCTGTTTTGTTTAAATATGCGTTGGAACAACTGCGTCGTTGGAAGAATCGAGGTAATATGTCGGCTGATCGAGAGATTTTACCACCTTCATGGCATGTTAAAAACGAATTCGATGAAATGCTCGTTTCACTCGGCTTAGCTGAATACAAACAAAGTAAGAAATATCAACTTTATACGAAATCAAGAGATGATTTTATTATACCTTTGTTTAGATTTACCAATTGAATATACGATCTATAATGTTAGTGACGATGCAACACGTCGCGTCGGTACAGGTGGAGGTATGCTTTGTGATCGAGATCTTGTTGGTTGGATCCGCTTTATTGATCGAGCTGGTAATACGATTGTTCGGCAAGCGCCAGCCATAGGGTGTGGTGGTCAGAAATCTGGTTGGCTACAAGGTACTTATCCCACAGAACCTTGGACAACGACACTTAGTACTTTGTGTTACACAGATGAAATGCGCACACCTTGTCGAGCTTCGATTCCGATTCGTACCACACATTGTGGTAATTTTCTAGTCTTTAAATTGCGTTCGCCACCATTTTGTCCAGCACGTGCTTGTACTGATGATTATAATCTAAATTAAAACTTGTTCATGTATTTTTATCATTTATTCATTTTACTCGTTTTACATGTTATTTTACTCATAAATCTACTCATGGCGTTTAATATTAATACAATTAAATAAAGGAACAAACATGATGAACGGTATCAGAAAATTTGAGATCACAATAAGAGATTGGATTGGTATTGTAGCTAAACAAGAGTGACACCCTTATTCACATCCTTTTATGTCTCTTTATCATTAAATCTTGAGGGTGAGTGTGTTTATAGAGAATAAGATTCAACGCAGCATATGACATTTCGTCCTTGCTTAAGGGACTCATTAGGTATGCTTTGAATCTATGGCTATATTGATTAGTAGAAATCTATTAAATTATATTCATATAAGTCTATAAAGAAGATTATACTTGTTAAATCCAGATTATATATACAAAACTTAAATGAATACAAAGAATTTATGAAAAAACGTTTCGTGCAAAACTAGCAATGAGAAGAATAGAGATAAAAACTAGTATTAGTTTATTCAATCAAAACTAGAGTTTGTCAGACTAAACCTAAACGCTTCTTGTCAAATTTACCAGACAAAAGACGAAAAGTATTAGTGCTATGATATAAACTCAAGAGTAAAATATGTATATTTCATATAATTTATTTTCATCAATATTTTATGAATATTTAATTTAAGATAATTATTTTTAATTATGGTTGCAGTTAAGTAGAGTGATTATACAAAATTGTAAAGTATGAAAGCATTAACATGACAGTAATAGAATGAGCAAAAGGTATGAACTAAGAAAAAACAAATATATATAATTATTATATTTTATTTCAATGCATATCAATCAAACATTGTTTTTACTCCTCAAATTCCAAAGCTTTTCGTCATCATTATCGGATCGTAATTATATTTATTGTTTTGTATGTTTTGTATCTATCGGTAAATATAGATTTAGTTTAAAGTTTTATTTTGATTTTATTTTTAGTGGTTGATTGACAAATGAAGATTCACAAGTTGTTTCTCGTTTATCTCGATAATTGAAGCTGTAACAAATATGAGTATGATATTAGAGAATAGAAAAATAAAATAATTCGATTGAAAATTATCATGTTGATGGTCATTATGAATCACATTCTGATTTTGCACGAGAAAGTTATGGATATTTATTTATTTAATTTAGTAAAAATCTAAGTTAAATTTCGAAATGAGAGACAGATGCTTTTTCGCGTCTTGGTGTTGGTGAGTTGAAATTCTCTATGAGAAATTTTATCATAATTTATATCTTTCTAGGAAATCGCATTGCTACATGGTTAATTTATGTAAGTTAATTGCATATTATTAGAAATTTGCTATAATTATAATAAATATTTCTAATTAAGTGATGTCGAACAAGGTGGTGCAGCAGTTTTTCCGGTAGTTAGCGATCATTTGAAACCAAAAAGAAGAAGTGCTGCATTTTAGTATAATGTTTATGCATGAGGTGAAGGTTAGATAATCACTTCGTTTCATTTTTTCTGGTATATAAAATAGATAATATCTATGTTTTCAAAACATTATAATACTTGTCATGCAGATATTTTTTTAATTTTATTAAATGGATTGATGAAAGTGGGGATCAAGAATTTCGTCATTCATGTGTTTATTAGATTCAATGGCATGAGTAAATCATCTATTGATACAAAATTGGCATAAGAATTTTAGAGATCTCAGTGTATATTTAAGTTAAAATCAAAGCGATAATATGAGCAATCATGCTTTTTGTCATAATGAATGTTAGGATTTCGTTTCCTTAGTGTCAATTGCATTTCTAAAGGTCGAACGAGCGATATATTTTGTTATTTATTTAAATAAATGAATTTTCTATTTTTTATTTAATTTAATAGCATAGTAGTTGAATGGTAAAGACTGTTATGTTTATTGTAAGATTAATGTCTTTCTGATCGTTAAGAGTTAATCTTGTTAATAGAAAAAAAAGTGTGATATGACAATAAAATGAAGATAGAAAGTATGTATATCATCTGATTTTCTACAGTAAAATCAAAGTTATATGAAAAACATCTCGAATATAAATTCTGAGAATAAATTTCATAAAAATATAATCATAAGTTTTTAATCTTGATTTGATCGTATTTACACAAAAGCAATTGTTAAATATTAGAAATTTTGTTCATGGTATGTATAAAGAGATATATTGTTTGAATCAATTAAGTTTAAAACAACTCTTTTTCTTTTTTTTCATCATTATGATTCAGAGAATTGAAAACAATAGAATTTGTGAAGATTTGAAATTGTTTGATGTTAAAAGATTTGAGAATAAATTCGAAAAACGGAAGTTGTCCGTTGTATATCAGATACATATTCTCAGATTTTTTCAATAAAAACTACAGTGGAAAAAAATATCTCAGATAGAGTTTTATCAATTGAAAAACATACTTAATCGTTTTCAACTATGATTATTTTTACAATAATAAAATTTTCGTGGTACAGAAAGAATAGCAAATAAAATCGATTAGACAATTTTATACGGTAATCATTGAGGTTGAAAAGTCTTTAATGACATAATGTTTTATGTGAAAATATTTTAGTAAGATAAACATATTGAGAAATCATATTAATACAAATAAGCACAATGTTTTATGCAAACGTTATTTTCTAAATAACAGTGACGTCCGTCGAATTATTTTTAATCAAGACTAGAATACATGCTTTCTGCTCTTATGAATAGCTTCAACTAATCAGTTTCATATCGTTAAAATCTTCTTTTATTAATTCATGAAAATGTAACAAAATTATTTCAATGATATCGTTTTTTGTGAACTAATTCAAGTCATATGCGATTATTTTCATGGAAACTTGTTCGAATAATCATTGAAATAATTTGATTTGCTCAGTAATAATATTTTGTTGAATAAAAAGAGAAATGATTTCAATTTCACATTGTTTCTCTCATAATAGAAAGATTAGCCGACAGTGGATTGTTGCGTGAATATGTGACAGAACTTTGAGATAAATCTGATTTTGTTTCCATTGTATCTACGTTCAACTACGATATTTTCATTATAATTACGCGTGACTGCGTCTCAATTACGTGCGTATGACAGTACGATTGTAATAAGTCTTATTCAACATTGACGTTGTTGCGTGGTGAACAAGCCAATGTTGAATAAGGTTCATTGCGTCGCATTTTCATCGTAGTAGAAGACGTAGAAACAGTTGAGCGATTTTGTTTTAAAAAATGTTAAATATGAAAGAAAAAATGTTTCAAGAATATTTTCTTTATATTTTGGTGAAGAAATTGAAATAATGAAGAAAATATATCTTAGAAATATCTTCGATGATTTATGTAAGTTTTTAATAAATTATTTCGCTTTGTTCAATTTGAAAATTTTCATTGAAACTTTATGCAAAAAAAAGTCAACTAAATGAATAGACTTTCTTATATTAATTAGAAAAGTAATCTATTTCTTCTTTTATTTTAAATAGAAAATAGAAATTTTTGAACAGATTCGAACTGTATATAGAAATACTTTTTTTTATTTTTTTTCTTAGACAATAGATTACATCTAATGTGTCATTTGCTCTGTATTTGATATTTTTGAGTCTCCTATTCCATAACATTATGTTTCTTCTTAAAATATTCAAGGCGAAAAGATTTATCAAAGTTAGATTAGAAAGTTTTGAATTTCTTTGCTACGACATAACTCGTTTTCCCTGATTCTTGTTTCTTTTCTGTTTCATAGCAACCAGTGAAACGTCTAAAAATTTTGTACGCAGATTTTTCTATTTTCTTGAGCTTGTGATCAACGAGTGTGACTTGTTAATTGTTGTCTATCGCATAGTTTTCTTTATATATTATATAGTTATTTACGGTTCAATTTATCGTCAGTCACTTTTCTTTATGAGAACTTGTGGATTTGAAAAATTCATTTCATTCAATGAGTCAGTGCTGTTTTGTCTATTGACTTCTTTTAGCGACATGTCACCTATTAAAAATATTTTCATTGGTTTTACATGAGAGAGAGCTGAAGAGATACGAATACGAGACAAACATGTGAATATTTCGTTGTGTTACTTCTCACATACTCTATACTATACATTAGAGGACGAAAAATTAACTTGAGTCATTATTGAGGTAGACGCGAAATTCGATTCACCATCTTATTCAAAGGTAAAAAGAGAACGAAGAGAAACCAATAGAGCAGAAAAGAAAATGAGTAAGTAGATTTATTAGACGTTAAATAACTTTGTGAAAAAGTAAACCTTAATAATCAATACGCATTTGTAATGATAGTTTGAATAAATAATAATACCTTTTTAAAGAAATAAAAAACGTTAATATGAAAAGAATAAGAGAAAAAATGCAATTACTTCATTAGATAGAAAACGTCGATAAAAAAAAAGAAAAAACATTGTCATAGCATAAAGCCATACTTGAAAATAACAATATTTATGAACATGGATGACGTATATGTAAAATTTTGTTTTTTTAGATTAAACATTTTCTAAGATAAAACAAGAAGAAAAACGCAGAAAAGTTTCCTTTAATTAAAAGTAAGAGTCTTAAAAAAACAAAATTTCCATTGAATTCTTATTTTTATTGTTCCTTTTTTTATATGTTTTTTTTAATAAATCAGTGCTCCATGTAAACATTTTCATTTCGAAATAAAATCAAATCTATTAAAAGACTTTCATCCAGAAAATAATTGTGATGATTTATTTGTATTTACATATGCATCTTCAGTTATTTCTTTAAATGAAATGTTTTTAGTTTCTTTTTACATTTAGATTTTGACGTTTATGATAAATTAGATGAATTAATACGATACGAATATTTTCTTATTCAAGGTAACAGAAACAAATAAATATTATGAAGATAAAAGAAGCATGTCTTTTTTTTCTTCTATTATTTCGTCTTTATTCATAGAAGTTATATTAGAAAAAACAAAAACTTATCTAATATTCTCGATCAGAATGAAAAAAAAACGAAATTACCTTTTTGACGTCATCAGATAACTGGAGAAAAA